CTAACATTACTTTAAGCCTTCATTACCCATCTCATGGCAATGCAAATGGATGGGGTACAGCCTATACCTTTCCTTCATGGCTTACAATTTCTCTTGTCATCACTGCCTGTTTATAGAAGAAGAAAACTGACTTAGAATTTAAATTTTAGAAATTAATTTAGAAAAGACAAAAATACCAACAACTTGTTGTAAATCAAAAAGTCATCATGCATTTGATTTTAATTTTAAACTCATTGAATTGCATTATAGATTAAAGGTGGTACAAAGAGAACACCTGTTCAAACCACATTAAATTGGGATGAAAGAGATCAAGAGAAGAGACCAGTCTGGATAAAAGACGTTTAGAAAGACAAAGTCTTGCTGGTCACAGAGTCTCAATTCCAGCTTTGTGTGGGTAGACTGTGGGAGGAGGCACTGGTGAGATAGCAGCCTGCCCTTGGGTTCAGATCTGCAGGGAACACTGCCTGCAGAGCAAAGTGGCACAGACCTAACAAGAGCTTTCTGAAGATGAAGTTGATTTCAGATCTGGACTTATGAGATTTGTCGTGGCCCATATAAAACTGTGCTTTTAGATAGACAGATAGATAATCAATTAGGGAGCCCCTCTCAGAGCACTGCCATCTCCTGGGATGAGAGTGCATGGGATGAACAAGGGAGCTTTCAGCAGAGGAGCTGCTTTTGTGAAATGCTTCCTATCTTTGCTAGGTGTTGGGTGCTTGGAGGTGATGTTCCAGGGCTGAAGGCAGGGGCAAGGATATCTTTTGGATCCTGGTTAGAGGAGGAGTGTAGGAGGACGATGACTTTATAATTGCTTTTTTTTATCACTCTTTCTAACTATATTGACTTTATACTTGACACAGCTTTGGCTAGCAAGTGAGGCCCAGATACATTCAGAATTAGATATGACACGGTTCATTCTTACATGAGAAGAAAATCATCGGTTGCTACAGAAACAGCTCATATCAGTCTCATGGGGCATCTTTGCATCTGGCTTTTTTTCCTTCTCTTTTGCTAATCTGTAGATAAGAGTCAAAGCAACTGCAGCACATCCCACATCTATGTAAAAGGTTGGAGGAGCACTGCAGAGAGCAGTGTGTGAAAGAGCATCTCATAGATAAGCTAAACTTAAATAAATGATTTAATTTCCCTCCCCACGCACAGATTTTTTTTTCTAGTTTTGCAACTGTCACTAAGCTAATTGAGGTGAAAATTAAATGACACCAATCGGCAAGTGTTTTAAAGACCACGAGCATCAAGGAAGGGAAAGGAGATACTCAAAATGGGAGCTGCGAGGAGAAATTTAGGGAGCAATATATGGAGTGAGTAAGAATCTGTCGAGAAAATTGCATATGGCAATAGAATAATATTCCAGATTTGCTGTTAGGCAAGTTATTTCATGTGATAAATTACAGAATTAGTTAAAAATAAGTGCATATTATGGGTGAACAGGGACCGTTCTGCTCATTTTAGACCAGATCACCAGCTAGGATTTTAAACTTTTTTTTTCTAAATGTAATTAATTCTCGATGCTTAATAGATTAATATTTATTGAGTGAATCAATGCTTAATGTATTAAAAATTTGCCTTCCTTGTATTTTAATATGATTTATTACTCATCAGTGCTTATTGCATTAATTAAAGACTGTTAATTTTATGGAAGTGAACACGATCTGCTGCAGGTTTGCTGCAGAGCCCTGTGCTGTAGGGACTGTGCCTCTGGATAGTACCAATGATGGAAAAACGCACATAGTGGGAAGCCAGTATGAATCACCAATGGCCTCTTCGTGCCTTTGGGCTTTCAAATAACCAGCAAAATGAAAATGAGCATGTTGCCCCTTACGGGTAGCACAGGATTATAGCACTAGAGATACGGTGATGATAAAGGGAATATTTCTGTTTTCCACTTAGCATTACGGTTGATGCTGTGGAAATCATTTTAATGTGCGTGTGTGTTTGTTTGTTTCCTTTGTGGAGTGCCTTTTTCCCAGCGTAGGTGAAACACAGCATTAGTGATATGGAACACTATCACCTCTTCTCAGACTAGAAATAATAATCATTATATCTCATAGTGCTCCGGTAGTAATTCTTGGGACATGAGGTTGCCTGAAGATTGGGATAGCCCCAAGTATCTCTGCAGGGGCAGGTGTCTGAGAAGTGGAAAATTACTAAAGGCAAAGCAAAAAGGAGCCAGACATCTTGAGATGAGTCTTTCAAGAAATCTGTCAAAACAGGGAAAGGGTGATCATGCTAGAAGGGGGTAACAGCTGCAAGTGGCAGCTTTCATCACTGAAGGGAGAAGAGGATATATCAAGCCCCACAGCCATGATATTTCTGATGCAATTATTTTATTAACTGTGGACACTTTGTGTAATGCCTTTCTCTTTAAATCCCAATTCTGTTGCTTTTATAGCTACTCATAAGTGTGCCAGTAGAAATGAAAAAAAAAAAATCCATATAGTTACTAGTCTGCTTGCATCCAGCTGAGCCCTGGAAACCGCAGAGAGTTAGCCCCTGAGATCTGAGAGCAGGCTTGAATTTCCGGAAAGTGATTGGATCCATAATTAGTGCATTTTTGCATGCTTAAATGCATGATTTTGAGATGTGTTTTGCTGTTTCCTTCTCTCCAGGGCTTGGGTGAGCATGTGCAAGCTTCCCTGGCTGTGCTAAATGAGAGAAACTTCTTCAAGGTCTGCTGAAGGTCAGAGTAGAGGAATTTTTATTTCCTGGGTGCACAGGTCAGGCAGTCAGCACAGAGCTGCAGCTCAGAGTGCATGCATGGAGTCAGGGCCAAGAGCCTGGTGGCATTTCAAAGTCCTCGCAGCATTTAGGTGTTAGATGCGAAATATCAGTGCTGCTCCATTTGAAGTCAGAGAAATAACTTGTGCTTAAAGTTCAACACGTACACAAAGATTTCCTGGACCTGTAGTTAATTTTTTTTTATTTTTTTTTTTTTCCAAGGCCAGTTTGAAGGCAGCATCCTATCAGGAAGAAAAGTTTCACTTTGTTTCATGTGTTGTTTAGCCTATTCTGTATGCTTTTATCTTCTTGCAGTATTGGGTTAAGCAATTTAGGTTTTTATTTAGTGCTTATTTTAAACCTATCTAACATCTTTAGGTCAGGATTGGAAGCCAGTTGGGCTATACAGGCATGTCTCTCTTCAAACACTCTATGGTCTGCAACCTTATTTAATGTAGACTATTTATATTCCACTTTTTTTTTTTTTTTTTTTTTTTTTTTTTTCCTCCCAGTAGAGAAGCTTTTACTTTTCTGCTCTAGCTGTTCATTAGATATACAACGTTTGGAGTTCCAGTTGTGATGAGAAATGTAAGCAAAGCTTTTGGCCCAGTGGGTGCTAAGTCCTAGCACTTCATAGCTTTGTACGTGTGACTCAGGATTAAGGCACAGAGTCTATATAAAATTCAACTCATTAGGAGACATTTCTTCTTATGGCTCCCACTGGGGAGGCAGGTCCTTCATTTGTACTATTGCTTACTTTGCATTACTGCTCTCTGGGACAAGTCTGGAGCAAGCAGAACTCAGTAGAGCTGGGATAACATTTCTGAATGGCTCTTGTGGAGGAGACACAAGGCAATGGGCACGTTCTTCTGCTCCATTTTACCATTACATTGGCATGCTTGTCTTAGTTTAGCCTTAATGTTTTATAAGAAATCAAATATCAAGCATACTGCTAAAATCATACTCAGAATGCCTTGTCAGAGTTAAGCAAACAAGGAATAATTATGGAAGCAGACAGGAGTTAGGTTTCTCTCAAAGGTGATTTCCACTGTACAAGAGGTACTGAAGGCCAGCAGTGATTCAGAAAATGTGTTTTTCTCAGCCTGACACTTCACTTAGCTTCCCAGAAGGCCAAATTCAGTTTTGGGTTTGCAACTCAAGTATATCCAGTACGTGCTCAGCTGTGTTCACGTACTTCAGCCAGTGAAGCCCTACTTGCAGAGAAACAATGAGTTTGGAAAGGAGTTTCATCAGTTGTAATTTCCAGGGATGAACATTCACTGTAGGGAGTACCAAGTCAGTGTTTCTTCCTCAAGGACTTTAAGCTGTCACCCAGAGAATACAGTGAATGTAATGATGAGAATTAGATTAGAGAAAGATCAATAGGACTGACAATAAATGAAAGTAACACAGACATTATTGAGCAGATTAGGAGAGAGAAATTAAACTGGACAGTGTAATCTGAAATGCCAGCTATACACACTAATGATGGGCAAAGTTGGGGAGAAGACAGAAAGTTAGACAGCTGGGAAGGAGAGGCAGTAACAGACTGTTTGTGAGATGAGGGGTAGCCATTCCAGTGATGGTCTAGTGGTGGATGCTTGCAGGCCTTCCAGAAACAACTATTTGGTTTAAACTTGATATTTGCCATCATAAATCCCTGGATTTTGTGATCCGTAGAAATATTCAGTGCTGGTCAATTCTGGCAGGCTTTGGGGTGAGGGATAACTGGTGGCAATGCGATCTGCAGGCTAGCTGTGCTCAGCATAAAAAGAAACTTTCCTTTTATCAGTCTTGAATTTGTCTAGATCCCCTTACAAGTCTTTGAAAGGTTTACCCCAAGGCAATGTAATTGTGCTTGATCACATCCAGGCTATGAGTCAGTGATTGATATGAATAAAGAACTTATGGTTTCTTGTCTTGGTTCCTTGTCTCCTTCCCTATGGAATCAGAAACTGCTTTCATAAGTATATCGGTCCATCTGTGCTTCTAGCTATCCATTTCAAGTATATGCTTCGAAGAAGAAATAGTAACACTTCGTAAGTGCAAATAAAAACACATTAAAAAGACTGAGCTTGTTGTTGGTTTTTTTTTGTTGTTGTTTCTCATAAAGTACATGAGGATCCCATCCAAAAGAGTTACTGTGAACCATGTAACTTGTAATTAATTCTGCTATAAATGTCAGAACATTTACTTCACAGGTCTAAGCTCACCCACTAAAATTAGTCTCCTTTTAACAATTCCTTTTATAATTTGTTTTTCAGCAAAGACGGCAGCTTGACCTTCTGACAATAACCAGCCCTGGTAAGTGAGCTCTGCTGCATGGCTCTCTTCTCTTTTCTTAAAGAGATGGTTGTCTAAATGTATTTTTTTTTTTCCCCCAGTCTCTGACATGCAAAATGAAAAACACTGTTCCCCAGAAAATCTTTCACGTAATAACAAGTGACAGCTATATTGTGCTTGGCAAAGCCCCGGGCAGTTATCCGTTCACAGAACTGCCTCTTCAGACCTTTACTCTATGAATTTGAGTGTTGATATTTCTTTAAGCCTCCTGGGGTTACAGTTAGCGCTATGTCTGCAGGGCAGATGCCCTCAAATTCGCAATGTATGTTTGACTATCACAGAAATGCGAGTTTGGCTTTTCTCAGTGGCAAATATGAGCAGTTTGGGGAGCAATGGGACAGTGGCCCTGTGTGCAAGTGGTGGGAGACAGGAGGTCCAGGTTTGGGTCTGGTGAATCCTGATGTGGTACAGAAAATATTGAGGAGAAATTTGAAAGGTGCTAAATGATCTTCTCCGTAACAGCCTTTCTTGTTTACCTATTGAGAGGATTAAAAAATATATATACTGCGGATGTGGTGGGCTCTTTGGCATAGTGAGCTGAAAGATCTCAGTACCATGATTAAAATGGTGGCTGTTTGGGTAGTTCTCTTTGATCTCCACTGTTAAGGCTGGGTGGCTATTAGTTTATTGCTGTTTTTTTGTCTCTTTTGTTCTGTTGGCTGCTATAGTAGTTCACTGCCCACCAGCTCCAGACATACGCTGTGCTTGAATGGTGCTACCTTTTGGTTATTTTTTTTTTTTCAGTTTTCCAGCTGTATATGCACATTAAGCTTTCTATTTGGCTTTAACTGGGACTAATGAGTTCTGGCTTTAGCTGGGAATAACGTGTTAGGAAATGAACAGGTGTTTTGGGAAGTGAACAAAATGTGACTCATTTGCTTGGATAACTATTTTGCATCAATAATTGCTCTGACACTCTAAATGTAGATATCATCTGTGACATGGTTTCTCCTTCACTAACCTTGTTAAAATAATAAGAATTAAAATAAGGAGGAGGAACACTTTGTTGGGACAGATGTTTGAGGCTATTGGCAATTGCATCACATTTTTGCATGTTCACTTTTCATGCAGTTTGCAATTATGTTAATGTATGCTCAGGGCACTTGCTGATAAAAGCAACAATACAGTGTGATACAGCCATTGTCACTATTCTGACTGTAACTTCAAGGACAAGCATGGCACATTTTTTTTTCATTTTTCATATCTTCAACATTCTCTGCTTCTAGAGGAGAAAGAAAAGGAAAAAAAGACCTCTAAGTGTCTTAATCGTAACAGGCATTCAGATCTTGGATAAGGGCACCGAAGACCACCTACTTCTTTAATTTAATTTAATTTTGATTAAATAAGACCAAAGGAAGGTTGAGGAACAGAATAACCTTATATGAGACGTGTCTGTAAAAGGAATTTTTGATACCTTTCTTGTAATGTTAAATACTGACAGACATCACTGGTACAATGAAAGGTTGACTTCACTGATTTTGTGCATTGGTGTGATTGCAGTAAGTAGCTATTGCTTCAGATCTTTGGGTTTAATACAGCAACTTATTATATCAACAAAGCAATTAATTGGGTTGGTCAAAATAGCTGTATTTGAAAACAGCTTCCAGTGGTTGTGCAGGTAGACATACTGCACTGAAACAGGGAGAAGCCTCTTGCCTAGCTCCAGGTGACTTCTGAACACTGAATCACGTATGCGTGGCACTGGTGGAATAGCTCATTTGTGTGTTTAGTTGAACAGGTGTGCATCAGAAATCTGTAAGCTGAACTCATTCAGCTTACAGGGCATTCTGAAGGAGGGAAGAAATGCAGAGAGTAAGAGATGTCTCATATACAAAGGTGCACAGCTGATCTGTTCCAGTCTAAGAAAGCAGCTCTGGAAAGCTCTACAATGTGCCCCAAACTGGAGGAAGTCTTTGCTTTGCCGTGGGTTTCCAGAAAAAGCCAGGCACAAATGATGCATAAGCTGGGAGCGAGCCAGACTCCCTCATGCTTGAACATATCCCTTTGAAGTAACTGACACCCATGTAAAATGTGGAAGGGAGTTCACGGCTCTGCCGTACTGCTGAGTAGCTGGAGGAATGTTGAGTTAAATTTATCAGTGCTCTCGCCACACTCCTTTCTTCTTGCCCCTTGACATGTGAGTTACAATTAGACTGCAGTGTGCTGTACGGTTCGGGGTGCCAGGTTCAGAGCTGATGTGCTCAGTGGGGTGGGGGAAAGATTTTAAACATTCATTAGTAGCTGGCAGGGACGTGCTGGCAGGGAGTGGGACATAATGAGGTTTAAGTTTTGGTAATTTAAATTTTCTTTAAACTTAGCTTTTCTGCCTCTGAATTTGATCCAAAACATTTTCTCTACACTTTGTCTTCTAGACTTTAGGTTTCAGAACCAAATTTTCAGGTGGCTTAATCTGATCTGCCTTTAATTTCTGTGCGATCATGTTCCCTAATGCTTCGAATGTGCACATGCAACTGTGTCACGTTTCGTGGTAACCACTCAATAGTTGCAAATAAGATATCCCTGTTTCTGTAGCTTTTCCCTGGAGACAAAGATTTTTGCATCTCCTCTGTTTACGATAATAATATAGCTTTCCAGTTTCTCTTCTCGGTAAGTTCATCTCCCACAGAAATATTTTTAATTATTGATACCATAAATGGAAGTGCGTTGGAAACTATTGGCTTTGAAAATAGCTAACATGTGATATTATCCAAGAACCATCAGGAAAATTCTTTTGAAATTCTCTTTGATTCAGCCGTCCTCAGGGCTTTATCCTTTTCTACCAGTCTCTCTACTGCCAATTTAAAACAACATTCTCTTGAAATCAGTGCAATGTCAGGAGAAATTCATCAGCACCGTAGGTGCATGTTTCCCAGATGTATATAAACCTACTACATTTGGCAGCAGTAAATTGATTGCATTTAAAAAACCTGCAGTAGTTGAATATTCTATAGTGCCCAGCTTGGCTACAGCATGGAATATAAAGTATTTTAAGTCTCTTTCAGCTCTGTTTTAGGAGAAATAAAGTAAGAGCTGACTCCATAATTCCTTCCTCTCGATTTGTTCAGATTCTCCTCTGACCACATTAGGAATTTACACACACTGACAGAGTGAAATATCCCTGATCTCTGTGGACTGACACTGAGATTTGATTGGGAATGCTAATGACTGCGTGTGTGCTGTCCCCTAATATTCAAGCTCTTGCACTCTTAAATAAGGAAGAAAGCTTGATTTAAAAAGTATTTATCAGACTTATCTGTGGGGTGAATTATTCTCCCCCTCCCCCCCCCCCCCCCCCCTTTTAATATCTTCAGTGCAGCATGCTCTAAAAATGTCTCCATTTCATTAATTTGTGATATGCTGCTACAGGAATTCTTTTAAGGTGGCTTTAGTTTCTGCCATACATATTTTACTGCTTTAAATTATAGATATAGGACTGTTGCCTAGTTAATTTTCTCTGGTTAGGAAAATATATTTCTGCTCTCCTGGTATTGCATAAAATGATATGTGGGATTTGCTCTATTTTTTAGCTGATTAAGTTTTGCATTTCTACATATTACTGCTTATGAGACCTCAAGTAAAACTAAGCAAAGGAAGGAGAAGTTTTATAGTATATTTGAAAGTTTCATTTAGCCATAAATTCCACCACTAAGCCCCCCTACAAGACTTTTCCATTACCTTCCTGGACGGTCTGGCTATCTTCTTCTTTTTAATTGAAGCATGAAAAGAATATGAGCCCAGAGTCATGAAGCTGGAAGATGGGTATTAGTAAAAAACGATACAGAATAATAAAATGTGACAGTTGTTTGCTGCTAAAGCTTGGCTACTATTTTTGATGGTCCTTATTAATTAATACGACATTGATTTTGTACTAAGGAGGTGTCAAGTGTCTGGGTTTTTAAACAGTCGGACATGATTATTGCTCGTGTTTGTTAGTGAAAATTCATATGCTTTTTTTTTTTTTTTTTTAAAGATGGTGGAATAAAGAAATTATGTATCTGTTTGCTAATAAGAGTCTTTCATTGCTAGATGATGAATAGGAGGGAAATCATTTCTTGTATCACTGTGGTATGGTGGTGGTATTAATTCCCCCGTGTGCCCATGGTATTCCGAAGTAGCTTGGAGGAACCAGACCTCACTGCTCTGCAAGGCAATCGACCCCAATTGTTTGAACCCACGGTACAGGAATTTCTTTGCCATGAAAAATAAAACATGCATGCTGAAGTCTCAGAGTGAAATTAGCGTTGTCAGTTTTAGCCGAACCCAAGGAACACTGGAAGAAATTTGTTCCACACTTGGTGATCCTTTAGCAAGATGATGCACTAACAGAGAGCACAGAGAATGCACAGCGCCATTTTAGTGCCATTAGGTTGGTTTTGGCCATCCTGAGCCTGATTAAGAAATTTGACTGTATCCGATTCCTCATCTTCACAGCATCAGAACAGCTGTAAAAATCTTCATTTGCTGTGATAAGGAGGGTTAGTATTGTTGCTTATAATTACTTATTTGTGCAGATCGGTATCCTCCTAATTCTTATTTATACCTCTCCATTGGGTTGAAAAGAACAATTGCAGAGATTCCAGGTATCCACTGACTGGTGTTACTGTTCCTCCTGTCTTTCCCCTGCGCAGACAGTCCTCTCTCACAGCATGTCCCAGGAGAGTAAGTTTGCCCTCACCTGTCTGCCTGTTTTTCCTGATTTATGCCCATCTGTCTCCCAAAACATCATATATATCCATCTCAAATATCACACTTCTGAGTTCTATTGAAATGACTTTCTTTTTCCTTTTTGCTCCAATAACCAGAGTTTTTCCGTTTAGTTACCCGATATTTACTTTCAGTAAGACTGTTTCATCCCCACCTTTGCATTTTATTTTTTTTTTAAATGACCTTTTTTGGATTCATGTAGAATAAGTGATATTTACAAAATCAAAATAAGGCTGCAGAAAGGATGTACTAAAGGC